TTTAACATAAGTTCCAAGAAGTGATCCTATCAATTGGCTTATTCTTCCATAGTTACGATGTCAGTGATCTCTTACATAAATTGGTGTGTCATTTAATGCTAATTGCTTGGATTCTAGATGATAAATTGAATATAATGTGAAAATTTAAATTGAGATCTTGATAACAAAAACTTCAAAAAAAATTGACTAGGTTTTTTGTTATTTAAAGAAATACTATACTTTCAACAAATACTGAATTTTTATGAAACTAATATATTTTGCAATTTTTGAAAAAATACTTAGCAATATCTCCTTTAATAGAATCTCTCTTAATTATTCGTTTGTGTTTAATTGGACAGTCAAAAGAGGGAATCTTTCTCTTACTAAATACGTTTAATATGTGATTATATAGTTACTTAACCTCAGGGGTTTAAATAGGAGAATGCCTCTAGGAGCATGATGTATTTCCTCTAGCTTGAGCATCAACAACGGCTGTTTTTTCTACAAAATGAGCATGCTAAAAGTCAAGGAAAAGCAGGAGCTTGGGGTTTTCTTGTCCACAATATATAACACTGGATTAATGAAACTGTTTAGTTGTGTGTTTGTTTAAGATGGCAATAGTTAATCCATTTTTTCTATAGTTTCATATTGTGTTAAAGCTCATTGGATTCACCTGCAGGCTGACACTAGGAATGTTGAAGATCAGCTTGTGAATGCTGGTTAGCTCATGCTTTAATTTAAAATGGAAAGCTCAGTTTTATCATTTCTCATATGTAATCATGATGACATATTCAATAGTTAATTCATTTATTGCTCATGGTAAATTAAGCAGCTATGGTGCCACCTGGAGCTGCAATGCCAGAAAAAAGCAAGCTTGAACTACTGCTGAGCGTTCTGCAGAGGTTTGTAGCTATCTCATGGATGAGTCAGGCTCTGATAGCTTTAACTAAGAAACATCTTTTTTCTTTCCACTATGTGTGCTAATAATTATTAAGAGAATTGCATTTTCTCTGATCTTTTTCATCTAAAATGTAGGAGAGACACACAAAAAATATTTGCAGAGCCAGTAAACCCAGAAGAGGTTGGTACTTAGTAACTGTTTTATCAGTTTTCTTTTCAAACCTTGATTTGCTCTACCCATAATAACAGTCCCTTTCTGAAGAGGGACTGCGATCATGGAAAGGAGCATGTCTCATGAGTTGGCTAATGAATTATATATGCTTCTGAAACTGAAAGGTGGAATTCTATTATGACGTCATCAAAGAACCTATGGATTTTGGCACCATTGCAAAGAAACTTAATGAAGGAAGTTATCAAAGACTGGAAGAATTTGAGGTTTTCTCCCAAAATGATTGCTTATTCACTTGTTTTTGGGCTGGGGAAGCTGTTCATGCTCTTCCTCAACTTAGGAATAAATCAAATTGCATTCTTATGTTTCTTCTCATCAGTCATAGTAAAAATGTTTTTGCAGCAGCTTGTGAAGACATGATTACCATGGTCCATGGTAATCAAATTATGTAGTCGTTGGGCCATGGTCCTATGGATGAAATTATAATCCCATTGCATATTTTGGAACTATGCTTACCATGGATTCAAGAGCTTCTATGGAGCTTGTCTTCATGGAAACTCTTTGGAAAATCAATTAATTGCTTCTTTTCTTACTTGTACACAGCATGATGTCTTTCTGATATCCAACAATGCCATGCTTTTCAATGCTTCAAATACTGTCTATTACAGACAGGTAAATCCATCAAAGTTCTACTGAATTTCTAAATCTTTGATGTTCTCAGAATTTTCATTGTGTCCTGAACGAAATGAATTTTGGTTTTCTAGGCACGTGCATTGAAGGAACTAGCTAGAAGGCTATTCCATGCTCTTAAAACTGATCCTGAAAACTTTGAAGCTGAAGCTTCCATGCGAAGATTTGGAGTTGGTAGGAGGAAAAAGGCTGAAGTTAACTCTAACAACAAGACTAGTATTGGCAATGCAGCAAGGGGTAGGTCAAGCATGCAGTTCATTTGTAGGCTACCTGAATTTTTTTTTTCTTTCTTATTGGCATCCAGTTTAAGCATGTCTATTTCCTCATCCTCAAAACTTATATTGATCAGAATAACTGTTATTTTTATGGTATAAGTATAAAATATTTCGTACTAAAATAAATGTCTAATGAGATTTTTACGGATATCTGCAATACAATGCATCAGATAGAAATATATTGAGTGACAAAGGCATTCGATGGTTTTCCAGGCTATAGAGCTGAAAGACAATCTGATGATTTTGAAGTGGAAAAGCGTCGAACCTATAGATCTTGGAATACTTTTATAAGTGAGAAAGCGTCATTACTCTCACAAGTTTGTAGTGGTTCAAATCAACTTAAACTGGTGAGTATTGTTTCTTCCATTTGTATTTTGCCTAATAAACAAACTATGGGTACGGTTTGATATATTTGAAAACCTTTTTACTTGTAAATATGTTAGTCTTATTACAATACATATATGTGGCCGTATGGTGGAAGACATAATAATATGTGATTCAATACTACAAATAATATTACACAGACTAATACTATTTAGACTATAAGTTCACAAAAATATGAATTGTTACAGTGTTGTTAAGATACATATGTCATAACTTAATGTGATAACTCTTAATATAGAAGTCAAGCAAAGGAGAATTTTTTGAACCAAAGAACAAGGGTTAAGTAAAAAAGATCAAAGAATAAAGTCTGAGCTTGGTGCATGGTTCGATTGTCTTTTCTTAAGTTGTAAGGCTGTGTTCATATGCACTTAATTGTCACTTATGTCCTTGCCACAAGACAGGAATTCACATGGTGGAGACCACCTCATTTCTACATGACGTATCTAAATATGATTCCATATTTCAAATATTATATTCACAAGTTGTTCTTATAATATATCATCTGCCAAATTGCCAGAACAAAAGAAAAAGGAAAAAGAAAGTTAAATATTGCATCAGGAAATCAAAATTTTTTGATTAAGTGCCTCACACTTGCTATGCATTGCTTTGGGGTTTATCAGTAGGAAGGCTGCTATTATCACACAGCTTTGGCTGGGAAATACACCTCATTATATATATATGTGGCTCTCTCAGGAAGTGTTACAGGAGTATAGCATTAATCCCCTTATAATCATCTATTATTTACTGATTTCCTGACCATGCAGGATGAGAAGGTAGGTGTTGGATATGTAGAGAGCGTAAAGCGGTTTGCTAAAGATTTGGGTCCAAAAGCTCAAACGACTGCTATGAAGAAGGTAGGGAGTTACATTGCTGAAGCTCTGAAAGTTTGGAATGCGACTACAAATCGCCAGTCCTGGACACCACAGATGCAAATTCCTAATACAGCGTTTGCATCAAAAAATATCAAGGTTGCTCCATCTTTTAGGGTCCCTTCAAGTACACCTGGATTCCAAAACATGTCACGTGATAAAATGGACATTCAGACTGGTTTCTCAAATGGAGGACAGGCATCATCGGGTAATACATTGAACATAAATGATGCTTTAAACAGAGGAGTAAGTCAACCTGGAAGCAGACTGGGAAGTCTTAGTGACTTCCGAGGGAACATGACTCAGTCCGCGAGTTTGGGGTTTGCTCCATCATTTAGGGTCCCTTCAAATACACCTAGATACCAAAACATGTCAGGTGATAAAATGCACATTCAGAGTGGTTTCTTAAATGGAGGGCAGGCATCAACGTGTAATACATTGAACATAAATGATGCTTTGAACAGAGGAGTTAGTCAACCTGGCAGCAGACTGGAAAGTCTCGGTGACTTCCGAGGAAAAATGACTCAGTCCGCGAGTTTGGGGTTTGCTCCGTCTTTGCATCTTCTTGGGAACTCTAATGGGAGTCAAATGTTTGCAGGTGAAACAATGGGTGCTCCATTCTCCTTTTGGAATGGAGGAGTGTCTGCAGTTAATAATATTGACATTAACGATGCTTTAAATGGAGGAAAAGGAAATCCTGGAAATAGAATGGACTTCCGAGGAAAAGCGGTCCAAACCATGGGAGGGGGTTTAGATAGCGGACCTTATTTCAAGGATTATGCTGCAAATCAAAGCAATGGAGTTCAATTGGATACCTGTTTTCCGAATTATGATTCAGGGAAAGAAAAACTTGATTTCACTGCTTCATGGAACACAAATAGCAACCAAAAGGAATTAAGCATGATGGTGGACACAATCGATGTGGGTAATACTGTACAAACAGCCGGGCAGGCTTCTTTGGGGTCGAGGCTGCAAGAGTTTACACCCACAATAATCAGTGGCGCTTCCTCCTCTTCATGGCTTCCACCTTCTCAAGTCTTGACAGGGTTGAATAGTAGTCAGGCCATTGACCCCATGAGCGGAATTGGTTCTCATTATGCTGGTAAGGGACTGTGTCAAAAGGAAGCCATAGCTGATGGGGAAGGCTCTAGATACACAATCAACGTAGAGCAGGGTGGGCAAGTGCCAGATTGGTTCAAGCCGCTGGAGATGGGACCGCTACCCTTGACTGAATATTGTTTCCAGGAACAAACCAAATCTCCTGAAATGACAACCCTAATGCAGCAAAAAAGGGATATAGATTTACTATGCAATGCTCCCCCACTTGAGGACTGGCTTGGGAGTTTTCCAAATGAGCATGGCATCAGAGCATCATCAAATGCATCCGGGTATGAGAGGTTTCAACCTCCAAGCAGGGGGGAGTCGAGTAGTAGAGCTGCTGCTGATAGGCGCCAGAAGCAACCTATGCTGGGTACGGAGATGCCGCAATGGTGGTGGCTGTAATTCTCTAGACTGAACAGAACTGCCTATACATGCATGGCGTAATGCATTAAAAGAGACATGGGATTTTCTTTTATTTTTCTTTTGTTGAAAAAAGGGACATGTATGTTTTATTTTGGTGGTTTTAACTCCTATGGAAACTATAAGACTTTGCTATTTTAAAGACATCTCAGCTCTGTCGTTATCTGCTTTTATATCTTTTTATTATGCATGTGTGTGGTAGAATAAATAAAATGAAAATAGCTTTCTGTGTGGAGATAATTTCAGTAGTTGAAATCTATTGGTGGCTACGGAGATACCCAGACTCTGACTTCTCCCTGTATTCTATCTTCCTTCTTCAGTTCCACGTATGTAGACGACGAAGAATAAGGTCATCCAACAGAAGGGGAAGGGACTTAGAGAGAGAAACACAAGAGATGATGGTAGTTGCTGCCGCTACTATTTCCAGCACATCATGTATACAGATAATGATGATACAAGGTAGTGGTGGTGGTTATCCATCCAAATCCATGGAGTTGCGATGGATAAGTAGCAGAAGCAGAAGAAAGAACCTAAACCCAAATCCAAATTCAAGGGTGTTGGGCAGCTTAAAATCAAAACCTCCGCCATTAATGATGCCAATTTACATATCAACAGACCCATCCCACATTAATCTCCAACAGCTCAGTGAACTTTACAGTAGTTGCAATCACTCCGGCCATCGATTCCCTGAGGTGGACCCCAACACTGGCATAGTTGAAGAAGCCATGGACTTGGACAAGCTCCGAATTGCTCTCTCCCACAGTTGTGTGGTCGTCTCAGTCTTCTGCAAACCTCAGCATGTCGATGTCACTAAGACCGCCAAGCAAATCCAAAACCAAGAAAACCAGAAGCAAATGAGCAAGGGTTTTGTTGGAGATTTGATGGAGAGTGTGATGCCCGTTACCCCTTCCAACGCCAAGCTTGTGGGCTTTGGCCGTGCTGTTTCTGATTTAGGATTGACTGCATCCATCTATGATGTTATGGTACTTGTCTTGGTATCCGTTTCACCATACAGTGAATTCATTTGTGTACTTTTAATATACTTTGGAGTTTATGGAGTTGAACAAACCGCTAACTAAGCATCATTTGATGACCTCTATCTGGTTTACTGCATCTATCTAGTGATCGTGTCAATTTAGAATTTCGTCAGAAGTTGGGGCTGGATGTAAAAATGTTTGATTGAGTTTGGTTTTGTTTTGTTTTCCATGTATCGTGTTTGTACAGTCGATTCTTCTCCTCGTAGGTATGTCCTGCTTTTCTTTGGGTAATGCAAATCCTTTGAGAAAAATAAAGAAATTTATATGGGAAATTTAGCTGATAAAACCATCCATAGAAGATGTTTCCTTTTCTTTGTTCCTGATATCCTGGCTCTCTGATCTCTCCCCCTCTTACACAGACACTCAAATCGCTTGCAGATTTGTTCTGTGATGTAACTCAGCCAGACAACTTGATTAAAATTAAGGATATTTATCTCAAGTTATTGACTGTATTATGGCTTCTGCATCGTGTACCCCTCAACTTCTATTAGTATGTTTGTTTCCAATATATTCTTTTATTGCATATTTAACTACCCTTTGTATTCATATAATTGTGGTTCAGTGCCTTCCAGGTTAGTCCATCTTTACAAGGAATGGGAATCGGCACGATAATAGTTAAAAGGATTGTAAGGTTTGTCAATCTAAATTTTCTTCTTTTGATGGTGTCAATTATAATTTTTGAAAGTTACACCAGTGTCAAACCAAAAAAAAGTTACTGAATTTAAGATTTTTTACCTAAGTTGGTTTGTTATCCAATTTGCTCTAAACATATAAGCAGGCAACTTAAAATCTTGTTCTCAGAGTCAGTAATGCATTGTCAGCTTCTTCTAGAAGTGAGCAACATGTTACCTGCTTTAAAATAAAATTTGTGACAGCTGAATAGCTGGTGAATTGTGTTCGTTCTAGCATTTCTTCAAGTTTAGTTGTCAAAATTCAAACCACATGCCGAGGAACTGCACAATGGAGAATACATTGCTTGTCATATCCTTACTCTAAACCGTGGAGTTTGTGAAATGTCTACAGGTAACTACTGAAGTTACATGTACAATGTTTAATGTTTTCCTCCTTTTGCTTCCAGAATGCTCACAAGTAGCGACATTTATGACATAGCTGCCCTTTGTTCCAGGAAGGAGAGGTAATTCTTGTCATTTTGTTAACATTTTGAAACCTCAGTGCTCTGCTTAGTACGTCTCTTTGTTTCATTATTGGGGTTTCTTACCAGGTATTAGTTTTAGCACTGTGCAGCTTCTCTTTCTTGCTTTGAGGCCCAGATTTTATTCTAGGACACCCACACAGGCTGGAGAGAAGCTGATTTACTGTTCAACATGTTGCAAAGTCCTTTTAACAAAGGCCATCCGAGTATATTACAGTTAGCCTACAACTTATGGGGAATTACTGTTTCTCTTGAATGTGCTGCATCTTATAGGTTGCATTCTTATGACATCTAGCTCCATTCTGCTACCTTTTTCCCTAAATGAGAACGAAGAAAATTCTATTAGGACATAAAATTTGATTAGATAGGTGCTTCCTGCTTTCACTCAAGTGACTGCTTTATCTTGTTCAACGATGGCATTGTATAGACATGTTGCAAATAAACTATGTGGAAATCTGAGAGAATGTTGTCAAGATAAAAGTTGGGATCGAAATACGAGGCCACCTATGGCCGGTTTCTTTTGCACGGCTGTAGATGATTTCATGGGTCAATGATAAATGGTTTATATTCTTCTGTGACAATAGATGACAAAACCTTTGGTAGGATTCCTAATTATGATCTTTATAGCTTATTTCAGGTTCTTCTTCAAAGCGTGTGGATTCAGAGATGACATTTTGGGCTCTACTACAATGATGTATACAAGGACAATTTCCACTTCTTTTGAACGTGACCAGATGGTTACACGGGCTGGTCGGAAGCTCTTGTTAGCTCCAAAGCTCAGAGAGCCATTTGCATCTTCGAAGACAAGTAAACCGGAAAGTTGAACAACATGGTGCCTTACTTGGATGAAATATTGAGAGGACAAAGATAGTATTTATTTGACATAGTGAATTTTTTATGCCCTTGTAACAGCATGCCCTTAATTCTGATCCCCTTTCAAGCCTAAAAACAATGTCAGTTTTGTATAATATTGAACTCAGAAACGCTCTCATATTGACTTTCCTATTCTTTTTCTTCCCTCCTGCCATGAATATTTGCCAGGTTTGATTTTGTGGACTTTTATCTTTCATTTTACTGTCTCAATCTATAGCCTATTTGACAGGCCTAAAAGGTTGCAATTTAATCTAGATTCCTGTTCCTATCCATCTGGAGGGCACTCCCTTGGAGAAAAGGTTGACAAAAGACTCTAAATGGTGCTTTAGGCATCGGAATATCTTCCCACAAAAGTAAAGTAGCCTTCTAAACTATGCAATAAAGCTTAACCCTTTTTGTTCTTGTGCGTCACAGCTTTATCAAAACATCCTTGTTAAAGACATTCTGTCAGCATTTCTATCTTTCTTCGCTTGTCTGGCATGGGGAAAATCTGGGTTGAGGTCTGTCTAATTTCTGCTCGAGGGCTCCGGCGTTCATCCTCTTTTTGGAAGCTACAGTGGTTTGCGGTTGGGTGGATTGATCCCAACAACAAATATTGCAGCAGGATTGATGCTTCTGGGAATTCAAATCCAGTATGGAAAACCAAGTTTGCCGCTTTGGTTGATGACTCAAATTTCCAAGAAATGATGCTGCACGTTGAAGTGTACAGTAGAGAGCCCATTTTCCTCAGAGAAAGGCTTCAGGGGACTGCAACTGTTGCCTTGAAAGAATTTCTGGCCAAACATAGCAACAACTCCGCCTCTTCAAGGGCAGGAACTGAAGAAGTAGGAAGCTACCAGTTGCGCAAAAGAAATTCCAATAAACCTCAAGGATTTGTTGACATCTCTATCCGTATCTCAGAGGAGATGGACGAGCCAAGTTCATTCCCAGGTATTTGTTATGGCTAATGTGTTAAAGTTCATCTAATTTGAATTGTTTCAACGTTTGATCTTGAGCTTCGTTCTTGCTAATTCAGAGGGAGTTTGGATCCAAGTTTTCTTATTCTGCTCGTTTTTATCATGTGATTATTGAATAAAAAAAAAAACTCCGGTTTGCAGGTGGTGAGGGAGAGCTTGTTCTGATGGACCATAGGACTAATATTGCATTGCCTACTGAAGGTGGGTCGGGACACACCTACCCAGCAGGGGCAGCACAGCTGCCTGTAGCCCCCCTTCCACGGCCACAGAATCAGTTTCAAGCTAATACTCCATACACACATTCAGCGCCACATCCTACAAACTATTACAACTCATCTATAGGTGATCCCAGTATTCCATCAGGTTCTGGACCCAGCTATCGTCCACCTAAGACTCCTCCACCCCCACCGCCACCCTCTAATGTTGGTTACATTCCCACTTTCCTCCCAAGAACAGATCATGTAACAGGGACGTATTTGAATATGCCATCTTCTGAGGCTGCACCTGGACCAGGGCCAAGACCTGGTTTTGCAATGGGACTAGGAGCAGGAGCACTGGCGGCTGGTGCTGTGATCTTTGGTGATGATTTCATGTCGGGGTTTGATGTTCCTGCAGGCTTACAAGATGCGAGTCTCACCATATCCACGGACCCTCCTTTCTGATAAATCAATGGCTTGCTGCTGTAATGTGTTGGAATTGTAGTAATTACATCAAAAAGCACGCTGTTGAAATTTGTTTGCGAGAATTCGTTCAATGAAACATTGTCCACCTAGAGTTCGTTCCTAGATAATGGGAAGTTTTATTACTGCCAAGGTTGCAAAAGCTGATATTCTACGACCAAAACTTACTGATGTCTAATTTTAAAGTACACCATGTTGCACATGATCAAATTCTGTTACAAGGAATAACAAGAAGACAGAACATATTAAATAAACTAAATAATAATAATTAAAAAAAGAGCAGATTAATCCCCCACTAGAGCCGAAAGGTTGAATCAAGCATAATCTTTGAGGATTTGCTATGGCTATTGATTTTCACTCTTAACAGCCTGTGATATGAGAAACCAGAAATGCAGGAGGTCAGGGAGGAGAACAATGCTTCCTATTGTTCCTTTCTCTCCAAAAATAGTAGATAAATGCAAACCAAGCTAGTTTAAGAAGTTGAAATGCTAGAGATTTGCCAGTCAAATGATTAATTGCTCATTGGAACTCAGAATTTTCATCTCCAATTGATCTATTAATACTAGACATAAAAAATGGCAGACCAGATTTCCTTACAACAAGAACCAAGTAAAAATTATATGATATCTGCAGTCCTCAGAATTGTCACACAGGTAACATGCTGTAGATTGCAAAGAAATCCCCTCATTATATAGGCGTGATAAGTAGGTAGCCTATCAAGGATGCGTAACCAAGCAATAGATGCGTTTATGCCAAGAAACTTGGTCCTGATTATGTCTCAGATATTTCCAAGTCTTGGCAACAGTGAATTGACCACACTTTGATGCCACACAAACCAGGGAGTCAGCTTGTTGAAAATCAGGAGAAGGAATCCCATCAATAGCTGTGTGAATATCTTGGAGAGTTGAGAAACAAGTTTGAGGCCAATGCCTGGAATTGTTTCTGATAATGCTATCTACTCTGGCTTCCTTAAAAAGACCGCTAGCTAACATAATGCTGCTGGAATAAAGATGCAAAAGGGGACCTTGAGAGTGCCAGTTGTCAATCCAAAAAATTGTTCTCCTACCATTCTCAATAACATGTTTAATAAGAGGAATAGCAGTAGATCAAAGCTTCTTAATTTTCCTCCAAATCCAAATGCAAGATTGGGGAAGGGGAATCAACCAGAAATTTCTGCCTTTAACCATAATAACATGTTTAATAAGAGGTGAACAAGTTTCAAGTTACTGCTTGTAGAGAATGCTCCTCTGACCCACCAATAGCTCTTTGCAGAAACTTCTCAACAACTCTAACAAACTCTTCAACCTTTTCTTCGTGGGGCAAGTGACCACAATTCTTAATTACTTCAAGCTTAGATTGAGGGATGGCCCGTGAAAGTCTCTTAGCGTTCCAAGCAGGAACTATTCGATCAGTGTCGCCCGTGACAATCAGAACTGAGTTTCATTGAGACAACAAAAACTAAAACCATTATATTCTAAGGCAACATAGCAGACCAAAAAAGTACTGAAATATATATGATTTGTGATAGGATATAGTATTCAGATATTCATATTTAAATACTGAAATAATTAGCAGTAAATAAGAATAGCATAGCCATTAGACAATAAGATAATAGCTAGACTGATTAAAGTTCTTGGGTCACAAATCTTTCATGGAACATTCTTTCGACTTCTTTATATTTCTCTTTCATAGGTTCCACATAGCCTTAATAACTGAGGCTTAACTGCCACAATGATTTAATTTGGACTGTTTGTATGGCCACAGTATTGCCAAAACATGGATTCAGCTGTCAGCGCATCCATCAGCACCATTAATAGCACTACTTGCCCATTCAAAGGGGCGTTTCAATTTAACATCTTTCCATTTTAAAACTTATATTATGGGGCAAGAAAATATTACCAGGACAGGAAATCTCGTGAAGTCTTTTTGCCAGTGGTGGCTTCATTTCGGACTTGCCATTTATAAGCATTGCTGCTGTGAATTCTACAAGAGCCCTATCCCAATCCTTAGCTCTTAGAGGCTGCATAGGATACAAATGTTGGTGTAACCTATGAGTTGAAGGTAACAGCACGTAAATACCAGCTAAGCATTCCATTCAGTAGGAAGAATGAAACGACAAAAAATATTATTGTAGATTACCTTGGAATACCCATCTATGATGTGTTTGTTGACTTGTTTTGAATCATACCATGCAGTCCTTACAGCAGCAACACCAAATTTATCAATTATCATCCTTACCTGAGAAATAAGGTAGATATTAAGCTTTTACTAAAAGCAGCATTGTTAGTGGGATTTATTTACACAACAAAGTCTACATGAAACAAAAATCATGGTTAAGAGAGAATGGCAAGGCATTCAACAGTTTGTTTGGTAAGCATTGACAAGTTGGGATTTAACTTTCCCATCTATGGCTGGTCAACTTTTATTAGTTAAAAATATTTGTGATTTTTATGTAGCAAAACCACTTACAACAAGTATAAACAAAAGCAGACGTCTTCAAGGTGGTATGGCACATTTGATACTTATAAAAAAATCCAGTGTAATTGGCAAAGGCCTATAAGTAATACAAGCTGTTTGTATTCCAAAATCATCCAGAAAGAAGTCAATACCAGCATTACACCCAAGGCAGATCGAAGAATAGAAGAAAGTGCTTTCTTATACAGAGAGTTGAGCACACCTCCCATCCTCTTTATCATTTGCATTATTGCCTCTGTGACATACTTGGTAAACTTGGACAAAATTTCAAAAAGCTTAAACTGTTGCTTCCCTAGATTATTTGAGTCTGACCTGTCTCGTTTAGTCTGGTTATTTCTTTTAGAGAGGTCTCCTTCAACAATCTTGGGAATAGCACGTGGAGCCAATATCGCTGGGGCAACAAAGATCAGAGCAGCAATACGTTCAGGAGCTTCAAAATATGCATCAAGTGCGACAAGAGAACCAGCTGAATGCCTGGCATGCCAATTTTTAAAGAGGTCAAGAGAAGTATCAGTTTTCATGAAAATAGAATTGAACAACAGAAACAACCCCTCCAGGATAATTTATACTAGTATATTTTCAAAGGACACAAGTAAGCATCTAATCCGAAGGAGAGAGGCTTTTGTATGTATCCCTACCAAGCAAGAAAACAAAGCTGAGAAAGATGCATACCCCACCAGAATTGCCTTTTCAGCAGCCAAGAAATCAATGAAGTACAAGGTAACAAGCACAGAAAACGCCATGGAGTAGGGATTCAGAGGTTTTGCATCACTAGTGTTGGTCCCAAAAGTATTGAGTCTTGATGTCAAGCCAAAGGCTGGCCTATCAAAGGCAAGCACTTTGGTGCCTGTGAGGTGTGCCAAGCGCTTCATAACTTTGTTCCATGAGAAAACAGAAGCTCCAAAACCGTGTAGCAGAACCATAGGAAGACCGAGCTTCAAGGACGGGGTTGGGGTCTGGTCCTGGGCATCCTGGCTGTGGCTGAGCAAGGAGTTATCTGAAGAATATGACTCTGCGTCATAAAGCTTGTGATGGATTTCAACCCCTCTAAACTCACAAAAGCAACTGTCTGGATCAGCAAGGAGTTTTGGATCCAACAATTCATCTTGATCAATGCCTGCAATTCTCTTCTTTTGCTGCCTCCTACTGGCGTCCATTAATTCTCCTACGACAACAAACACTATATTAATACTACGACAAACTAAGATAAACAATTGTATGGGAAAGAAAGGCAATTCTTTTAACACTTAATTTGTAAGATTGGATGGGAAGGCTAGTCGAATCAAAACATCAAAGAAAATAGGTGTGAAGAAGAAGAAGAAGCAGCAGCTAAAAGAGGGAAAAGAAAGGATAGAAACGCACCTGCAGGATATTCGGCGCTGGAGCCGGAGCCGGAGAGAGAAAAGGCATGGGTGATAGTTGTTGCCAGAGTTGGACACCTGCGTTTGGAATGGGAATTGGAGGAAGCATACGGATATTCGGCGTCGGAGCCGGAGCCGGAGAGAGAAAAGGCATGCGTGATAGTTGTGGCAAGAGTTGGACACCTGCGTTTGGAATGGGAATTGGAGGAAGCATACGTTTGACAGCTTTGGTTGTTGCTGCCAATGGCAATTCCATTTCCTATACTATGCTGAAACTGGAAATGGAACTGAAACACCAATCCTCCTCCACTCATAACCTTCTCTGGGTTCATCAATCATTCATTCAGACGAGTTCAAATCCTATTTATGTCGGAATGAGAACATTGATGATAACGTGAAGGGAAGAGTAGGTTCTTTTCTGTTCATTTTTCACTGACTACAATTACGCAGTGAACAGTAAAAAAGTACTGCACTTTCCACACGACATCGTTTGACGGCGCTTGGTTCTGACTTGGTCGTTAAAAACTGAAACCAACGGGTCATCAAAGGTGCAACCTTTCCGTGTATTGAAAATTGGGGAGGAAAAGTTAAAATTAAAAATGGAAGCTTTGTTGTGCAAGAGATTGGGTGATCCAGCATCCTCTGCCCCAGAGGGCAAAAATCCCGAATCGTCGCCCATCGTGGTGAGCAGAAACCATCCAATCCCAGAACTGGACTCTCCAACAGCAGTGAGAGTCAAAGTGAAAGCCACCAGCTTGAACTACGCCAATTACCTACAGGTACTGGGCAAGTACCAGGAGAAGCCTCCCCTCCCTTTCATCCCAGGCTCCGATTATGCTGGCACTGTCGACGCCGTGGGCCCCGCGGTCACCAAGTTCAAGGTGGGGGACCGCGTCTGCTCCTTGGCCTCCTTAGGCTCCTACGCCACCTTCATCGTCCAAGACCAATCCCTCCTGTCCGTCCATGATTATTTTCTCGCTATATTGCTATTAATATTATTACGATATTCTCATTTCTCTTCAATCAATATATTTGAAAAGGAAAAGGTTTTCTTTTCTCATGTCAAAATAGAAGACTGAAGTAATTTATGCTGTTTCTTCTCTCTTAGGTTTGGAGTGCCGAAAGGGTGTGATCTGGTGGCAGCTGCTGCACTCCCTGTTGCCTTTGGGACCTCACATGTAGCCCTTGTTCACAGGGCTAACTTGACCTCTTCTCAGGCAGCTGCTTTAATTTCATTTATTACTTTTCTTTCTAGTGTATGTTTTCAACTTTTTAGTTATAAATATTTCTAGTAGTAATTACAGGTATTGCTGGTTCTTGGTGCCGCTGGAGGCGTTGGCGTTGCTGCTGTTCAAATTGGCAAGGTTTGCGGCGCAGTTGTCATTGCTGTTGCTAGGTGCCTCCTTTTTCTTCCCAATTACCCATCACTCTGCATTCTTTGTGTTTACTGCTAGCATTTCCCTTCTTAATATTCATGTGAAGACTTGCTATCAATTTTAGGGGGCCTGGAAAGGTGCAGTTTTTGAAGTCGTTGGGTGTTGATCATGTGGTAGACTTGAGTAATCAAAATGTAACTGCAAGTGTCAAGGAGTTCCTCAAGTCAAGGAACCTCAAAGGGGTTGACGTTCTCTATGATCCTGTTGGTGGCAAACTTACAAAGGAGACTATGAAGCTCTTGAATTGGGGTGCTCAAATTCTTGTCATTGGATTTGCCAGTGGTGAAATCCCTGTCATCCCAGCTAATATCACTCTTGTTAAGGTACTTGAACTTTTCTCTTTCTTATCAAATTGATGTGTCACGAACTACACTATGCTGCCTTCATTTCCCCTCTAATTTCCTTGTGCTGCTTTAGTTAGCGTTGTGTCCCTGTTGGGCTCTTATAATGAGAAGACAGCACTGAATAGACCATCTCACTTAATCACGTGTGCATTGGAAAAGAACCAAGGAAGATTGGCCTGCTGATATTTATGTGCCTCATGTCACCTTTCCTGATATTACTTTTTGAACTGTATGATATTGTTATATTCATTCCTCTGGCCAAAGATGGTCTTCTTACACACACACGCGCACACACACATATATACAGTTGATGTTTTTGAAGATCCTAAACAGACAATGCATATAAATAAAATATGCAAATGAGTTGAAATCTGTGGAATTGTGATACCAACTGTGTTTTTGTGTATAACAATATAGGTTTTGGGGCTGTAGTTTGAATATCTGATTAATTTATTGAGGTCTGTATGTAGAGGCTTTCAGTTAGCATGCGAAATAAGTGCCTACCCTCCGGCATAAATGAACGAAAATTTTCTCAAAATATTCATGATAGACAAATAAATAATTTTTACTTGATGGAGTTAACTATAGCTTTAATGTAGCTGAGGTCGGTGGTCAACGTCATGTGATGAAGGTTAGTAGTCAATTTTAATGCTAAACTAGTTAGTACAGTCCACTTACTCATTATTTGTTGCTTGTCTAGAATGGCCTTCTCACGCATCTATCTTGTGCAGAACTGGACTGTGCATGGGCTCTACTGGGGTAGCTACAGAATACATCGACCAGCTGTGCTTGAGGATTCCATCCGGGAGTTACTCTCCTGGGTGGAAAAGGGCTTGATCACCATTCACATTTCTCATATTTACAGCCTATCAGAGGTTAGGAGCTCCCACCAGTCTTCTCATTTTTCCCCTTTTATGATATATCCTTTCATTCTTTGGTTAAACAAAGCTCCAATCCATCAAGGGAAACTATAGGTGAAAGATATTGAGAAGGTATTTGAAAATTGATGTCTTAAACCACAAAGCTCTGACACAAGCAGAGTGGTCCTGCTGAAAGCCAGTTTAGCCCATGTTTAGAATCCAAGCATGGTGCCTGTAGCCTTGTGCCCAACCAAGTATTATTCAATGTATTCATCACGATAGATTGGCATCCTGACCCTAAAGTTGCTCACTTGGGGCAGACAGATGAATGTTGTTTCCAGTTCCCTTCTAATTTCCCAGGACTATCATAAATCTTACAACTTCATGCAGAAAATTGGCAAATTGATTTTTGGTGAGAATTTGTGACCCCTAGATGCATAATTTACGTTTGATCCTAACTCTTTTACAGGACTTGCCAAAAGCCTGTAGTCTGTTATAACATGACTTATGATGGGTGCTGCATGGACAAGAGATGTATTGATTCTTCGATTTTATATTTACCTTCTCATTTAGGAGATGATACGATATTTTTACCGTTGTAGGTGTAGTTTCTACTTTCATATTGGAATATCTGAGCTCATTGATTACTTGTCTTTGACAGGCCAACCTTGCATTCTCCGCAATCAAAGATAGAAAAGCAATTGGGAAAGTGATGATTGCGTTTGATGATCCGGGAAGTGCAAGATCTAAGCTTTAAGTGATTAGGATTTAGCTGAAGCAGAAGAATGTTGTCCATTCTCAAGCTCAAAAATCAGAATCCTTTCTTGTTCCAGACACACAGGTATGCAATTGATTTGCAAATAATACAAAAAAATGAAAAATAATGGAGAAGGTAGTAAATTTCCAAGCTTGGCTGTATTGTGTTCAAAACTGAATGCATCTATTGTATCATAACTGTTCAATGAGCAGATGCTCTTAGGACGGTGTTAATGAATGGCATTTCTTTGTGTACTTTTAGTTTTGTTATCCCCTGTTATAGACTGGACTCTGGAGTACCGCAGGAGAACACTGAACTTGTTCAATATTTTTGTCAAACGGTGCTTTCTAAGCCTCTATAAATAAAGATGATGCAAAGTCATGACAGATTGCCAGTGGTCTTCCTCCAAGAAAGAGGACATCAGATTTAACCTTTCATAGAGAAATAGTCCTCAGTGCCCAAGCAAGATCATACTTTGCTTGTTTAATGTGCACCTAACTGATGAACTTAGCATCTGTTTTCTCCGAGTAGAGTAGTGCTTACAGCACAAACGGACTCTAAAATCTTAGCATGAAAGATCAGACTGCAACCATTATCATCATTCCTGGCAGGAACCAATTCCAATCAATTCAGGTTATCGCCATCTCTCTCGTTTACGCATGAACATGGCCACTCATGAAAGCTCTATCAAGTTCCAAGGGACTGAGCAAGTGTCATATTGAACCATATGCCTCCCAGTTGCGGACCACCAAGGGTGGTACTTTCATTCCACAGCATGTTTCCGGAGGAAGTCTGGGTTTCAAGCTATTGGAGAATGTAAGCCACCGTGCAAAATTATCAGTGTTCAAGGGTTAGAGATTATTTAGAGCCAGACCATGAAAGAGCAGCAGGAGGTGCCTCCATGTTCGTTCATAAGTATATTTTTCTGTAAATCAATTATTTGATAGAAAGCTACTAATTCACCAGGAAATTTACACTCAATGCAAGCTCTATAGTTCAATATACCAGGAAATTTGGCTCTGATATGAAGCAACTTTAATCCAGTGCAACATTTGCCGTTACCAGCAATTTATTACCATTTACAAGTAACTGGCACAGCAATTTCTTGCACATTATACAGTAAGAACCATCATTTGAAGTAAGATTTTAAGATATGTACAAGTGACAGATATTGAGGGTCCATTTTACAAGTTTAGAAGCATCTGTTTGGGTGCAGTTCTATCTAGGCCGGCTATCGGTTTTCAGAAAACGGACATATTCCTGCTGTATCATCTCTCCTCCATGCACAGGGTCGAAACTGCACCTGTAGAAACTGACAATAAGAAAAGGTATTAGACACGGTGGGAAATTCCCAAATTGACTAAGAAGGCAGGGAGAAAGTAAAAGGAGAAATATCTACTACTGTGAAGTTCAGATCCTTTCTCAAAAAAAGCTCAAAACCCATGTGTGCGTGTGTGTCTATGATGTATGTATGCATGTTTTAGCTTGGTATGCTACTGAAGTTCAGTATCCAAGTTTAAACTTGAATATAGCATTTCCACAACCTCACTCCACAACTTCATAAGAAATTAAATGAGTACATCATAAGAGTAGTTAAAATGCTCCAATAAAACAGGCCCACATTTGAAGCTGACAAGAAACAGGGAAAATAAGGGCACCCCAGGGATTATTGCAGAGATTAGAACAAATTTACATGCAGATGTTATTCTGATTATCAGTCAGAGATATGCCGAATTCGTTGATGAGAGAGCTAGTATTCTAAATTAATAAATCACAGTCAGAAAATAATTATGCAAACTGAAGTACAATGTCTTGAATGAGGTCAAAGAGGAGATACTAAAAGGTGCTGTAAATGGTCCAAGGTCTTTCCATACCTTAATTATGTAAGCTAACAATAGTAAGGCCAAGAACACTTAATTAAAATAACTACTTAAACCTTATGTTGCATCACATTAGTTACTCAATTTCAATAGGACATCAAGCATAGCTCCTCTCTCATAGTCAAGGAACTATATTTGAATGGTTTTCAAGAGAATAAGGAGATAAAAATACCTCGCATCCATGCCAACAACAATAACAGTGTTTTGAGATCCAAATGCTGCAATAAATTGGGTATCTTCAGGTAAGTGAAACTGAGCAAATGACCATTCAGAGCTAAAATATTTCGGTAAAACCCCTGGAAAACATAGAAAGTTTAGATGTTTAGAGAAGCAAACATGAGGCTTTTAACTAACATAAGTGCAACCAACCAAATTCTCCCCTCATCCTCATCATGATACATCAGATCTCACATAAAGTTTACAGATCTTGCTATTTGTTGACAACATATAAAATTGATTTTTATTGAAATTTAACAAAATGAGTTACATGCAATTCTGTCTTATCACAACAACAGCACACCTGCATACAAACTATAACGGCAAATTGTACTTGTTACCTCTCATAAAAGATAATGATGAACCAGGATTAGCACCAGTGCTTGGAGATATAAGTGAATCAAGTGACGTAGAAGAATTCTGATGAAATAGTGCTGGACCTTGGACAGAAGATGGTTGAGAAGATGAATCCTCCCCAAAAACTCTAACTCGAAGATTAAATATATGAACAGTGCCCTTGTCACTCGACACAGCCAACCATTGGACATTTGGTGAGAGGGCAATGCTATAAATATCTGCTCTGTCTACTCCTCTTCGTACCTACATGGACAGTAACTATAAGGGCCTAAATTGCAGAGACAGTGACTGGAGATGAGTATGATGTTGTTTGACCGGTAAAAGGTAAAGAGGGGAAAAACTTCATGATGCCTCCATGAAAGAAGAAATGGGAAAATGAAAAAGAGGAAGAGGGGAGGTTAAATGTTTACTCAAACTTCAAAATGCAAAAGGGATATAGACAAAGCTTGACCTAACAACGTTTTCCCCTTGAATATACATTATTTAACGCCATAGATAAGCATACTGTGATTGATGCATATATTCTCGAACAGAATGAGGAAAATGTTAGCAGAAAACAGAACCATGGTCCAGCAGCATACCTCTTGCAAGCGAGTTCCATCCATTGTGTTGAATATCCTTACCAAGGTGCCCCTAGTACTAGCAGTTGCAAGAAGTAGACCATCCAATGTCAAGGTGAGGCAGGCAATATGAGAATCATGAGCATTAATGAGTTTCATCACATTAAGACCAAAGTGTTCTACTCGAACCTGCCCTCGATGAAGGCCAGGACAAGCCAATACAGATGTATTGGCATGGTGAGAAAGGCAACAAAGTCCCCTAGGATTGGCCAAAGTCTCAATTTGATGAAGAAGCTTAAGATCCATAAAACTGTAGACATATATCTTGTGCTCCAGAACCACAACAATGCGATCTCGTCTCAATTTGACAGCACGAACATCAGACCTAAATGCAAATTCACCAATGCAGCGGCTCTGATGATCATCCCAGATTATAACTTTGTTTGGAGGGTACTGGGAATTGGAGCCCCCGCCAACAAGTGCCAAAATGTTGCAGCGGAAGAGCATTTCAACAATTTTGAAACCCCCGCTTTTGAGATCGCGCCTGAAGGTTTCCTTAAAGGGTTGGCAATTATAAATTCGAAAACCCCGGGACGTGCCAGCCGCAAAGCAGCCATAATCCTGGTTCCATGATACAGAGAGCAACTCTGTCTGGTCAATGTCAGGCAAATCGTGGCGGATCAAGGAGGAAGGATCACCGTTGCCGGAAAAGGGGGGTTGAGGAGGTTCAATGGAAGGCGTTGGAAGGAAAGATGGAGATGTGGAGAGCGTTGAAGTCATGTGGGAATTGGCGTAAGTGGAACTGATTGAATAAAGAGGTCTCTCCAATTCAGGAACTAGTAGTACTATTTATATTTATAGCACAGCAAAGCTGGTAGAGAAGGCTCTGGCAGTGCCACCAATATGTATGTGAATGAATGCTGACGATGATAATGATGGAATTAGAATCTTCGAATGGCAAGCTGTGCAACAAGAATCCACCAATGGAGATAACCAGAAATTTGAATCGAATTCATTAACAGCTTGCTCGCTCTTGACTAATGCAAAAGGAGGAACAACAACAGCAGCAGATGAGAGATAGCAGATAAAATTCAGCAAGACAATTCGAAAACGAACACGAATGCAAAAATTCAGCAACAAGACTGAAGATTGTAAAGAGAATTCCGAAACCGATTCGGAGATGAAAAAGTGATCAAATCCGCAAGACAAATTCTGGGTGTAGATCTGATTCCCTGCAGCCAACGCCAGATACCGCTACGTACACGCCATCTTCCTTCTTCTTCTGTCCTCCATTTCTTGGATTACTGCACCAGGAATAGTAAAACCTGAAAAAGTCGATTTTCTATGATTTAACTTAGCAAATCACCATTGGGCCAAGCTGGCATAAACTAACAACTCAAGCCGATTCAACACCAGTAGCTATCAAAACGGCCCAGCCCAGCTCTACAACTTTTCTTTTCCCCAAAATTAATGCTAATTTCCCTCTCTAAATATTTATCTTTTTAACTTTAATGAATATTAAGGTTAAATTTTTAATTTTGATATATTTTATATTAAAATTATTAATTTTTTCTAATATGAGAAATTTTCTAACAAAAAAAAAATATTATGTGTTTTAAAAAAACAAAGAGATGAAAGGAGTAGTAATAATGTTTAATTTATGAGTTTTGTAGCAAAAAATATCCCATACTAATAATTAAGTATTGCTTTGTTCAATTTTTTGTTTCTTTATCCATCTTTTTAAAATGTCTCGAAATGAAATCCCTTTTTCTTTTTTATATTATAACTTTATTGTTGATAATGTTTTTGTACATTTCATATTTATATTACAAAAAAATTCATATTTTAATGTATAATAAATCAAAATCAAAACTTTGGATTTAATATCTGAGAGAATATTATGATTTCTTTTTCTTTCCCCTTGATGCTTTTGGGGGTGGATAGTATATATAATATCTACAAATTAAACAGATTATACCATTCAGATAATAATAATAATTACAATCACAACCAAATAATCTTGAATAAGAAATTAATCCAACAAATCGAACATAAAATTGAACAGAAAATGTAAATACTCGAAATTTCCAACATCTCGGTATTTTTATAAAATCGAGAAACAAATCCCGATTTAACTCGGTGTGCATGTTTAAAACCTTGGGACTCATTGGTGGAGGAAAGGCGAGAATAAAAATTGCCGACAATTAGATTCCACAAGTTGCGAAGTTTGGGACAAGAGCTGGATTTGGGAGAGGGGTTGGACCGTGGGGAGTGGGGACCAAACTCAAACTGATTCCAAACCAGCAAAACAACCAGACATGTTTTAAAAGTGACGAGAAAATCTACTTCAAACTATAATAAATAAAATAAATAAATGTATAACCTAACTTTTCTTTTCAACTCAAAATGGTGGCTGTAAAACCAAACTATGGATCCAGGGGCCACTCATCCTCCTGCCTGCTCACCAGCTATGGCTGTGAACACAAACGGGGAGGATGGATGTGCTGGTTTTGATTTCATTCATTCATTCATTCGTTCCTGCTCTTGAGGGCTGGATGCTGGTTTCCAAAACAGGAACCTCAGCAAGGAGATGCACTCACCCATATTTGGTAACCAAATGATCACAAGCCCCCATGTGTTGTTCCTAGTTCACCTCCCATTTATATTCCCAATAAGACGGTGATGATGATGATGATGATGATGATGTTGTCATGTATATACCCAGTGTGCCAACCATGTTCACCATCAACATGGATATATTAATGCATGGCATGGGGTGTCTGTAAATGTAAAGCATCAGCATGCAAATGCAATGCAAGTTTAAACAAAGACAGAAACCAAGCAAATTCGTTTCGATGTTTCAATTGCATAAAATAATGGAATTCCAATTTCTGGGCACAGTTTTTCTGATGTGAAGATAAAAGAAAAATGGGTTCCAAATGTACTTCCCCTCCTCGGTAACCAAAACCAACACCAGAGCTCTCAAGCATTGAAAGCATTTACATATATATATATATATATATATGTATGTATAATATATAATATTTTAATCTCAATCTGTACTTTGAAACACACATAACTAGTCACAAAAGCAGGATGTTTCTGCAACTTTTGAAATCAAACAGTTTTTCCGATGAGCCTTACTTACTTTACCACGCCCACTATTGGCTGCAACCTACTACCTGGCTATTTGTCAAATTTCGAGGCCTCTCAAACCTGGTCATGCATTTTAGAAAGCACTGAAACACACTTACAAGCAAACGCATGCCAACACGTGCACCAAACTGTGCACCGCCAGGATGAAAACACAAATGCTAATTTTATGAACAAATTAATGCTAGTGACGTGCAGCAGTGAAGGAAAACCAATATTTACTTGCACATGTTCTCTTAGTAACATGATCAGGCCAACAGTTAGCTTTTACAGCTGCTGTGGTGCATTCATACTTTTCATCAAACATGGGGCTGACGTCCCTTCAACAAATTAAATTTTAAACTACTACTAGTGCAGGAATCCGGGAAAGGCCAATACATGCAAGGTTCACTTTTCTCAATTTGTCTGCCAAAAAAAAGGGAAAAGGGGAGGGGGCGGAGACTGGAGGAGCCTGTCAATAATGGACCCTGCAAGCCAAGCCAACTAACCATTTCCATTTGATAAGTGAGATGGCCTGCGCTATGCTCCATACTTTGGTTTTCCTGTCAAGTAAAAAGTACCAAGTGAGTAACTCTAAGCATTTACGCCATGTCAGAGACGTACCAACTCTTTGAGCAGTCATGTCATTGATAATTGAACCCAGTTTTGTTTTACTTACGATAAGGAACAAGCTAATCGACGATGGTATGAATTAGCTAAGTATTGATGGAAACCTGACCACTCGTCTGATAAGGAGCGGAAAGACGAAAATATCTCTTTCTCAAGGAGAATTTGCAATATGAGACACGTAGTAAAAACACTATAAATGGTCAGTACAGATGGTATATTTTGTAGAGTTAGCATATAAATGAGGGTAACAGAAAGAAGGAGCTCCCTTCAGTCCAAGCACGGAGAAAGAGGGATGCAAAATTATCTCCCGCATCATTCACACAATCACAGTAGCAAAAACACCAATCCATTTTCTACTGAGTGCTTGAATGAATGAGTCGGCAGCTAATTCAACCCCCTTGTTCCCATCCGTGAGTGGGCTGAAGGAAGCTCTCTCATGCTATTTCTCGAACATTCAGCTTCTTCCTAACTCCTTTCACTAACAAAAGAAACTACCCTTCCAGGTCCAAAGATGCAAAGAGAATACCCATCAATGTAGCCAATCTAATTGTGCACTACACGATAATACCGTGTTTTCAAACAGCTGCTAATGCCCAAAGTTCGGTTCAGGCCGCATAATGAAAAATGCAAAACTTGTTCATGATTAAATCAGTTTGGTTAGTTGTCTTTTAAGTTTCTTCATCAACAAGTACAAGTTTGAGCTTATTTAAGCTCGACAGAAATTATCAAACATTGACATCACGTTGAGAGGAGGGGGGGGGGGGGGGGGTGGAAATGGAAAACACAAAATAGGAATGCAAGCTTTGTCATTCTAGATTTAAGGAACCAATTGATGACCAAGACGGTAGCTAGGGTGAAAGAAAATGTGAACAACCACTCAACCAACAGACAGAAGAGTGATGGAAGGTGAAACGCACTCATGATAGAGAGAGAGTGATGATGGCAGTTTCTCCTTACCGTCCTAAAAACAGCAGGCTTAAGTATTGAATTCATTGAATAAACAAGATCCTTGATTACCCTTTTATCATCCCGTTCCAAAACATTATCAAGAAGAACTGCAAACACTTCACATGAAGTTTAGTGTTTTCTTCAAAATCTAAAACTATGATCATACTCGAAACATCCAAAAGGTATTAACCATACATGTGTGTATGTGTGGTGTAGTTAGAACGTTTAGAATACATATACAGCTTCACACAGAAAGCAAAACAAGGACAAACAAACTCTGAAGCAAACAAATTTTGGTCTTTGAGAGCTTAAAAAATGATTACTGGAAAAAGGGGGGAAAAAAGAAAAATCCATCCTCCACCCACCGTCTAGGTCAATTAGAACTTGAAGGATACAATAGAAGCCAAGAGATCAGATAGAACTTACTGTTACAGCTGCAAGGCAATGTGCATAAGTCTATACTAATGGAGTTATGGAGTACAAAGGAAGTATTCGGCAGAGGGAAAGGAAAAACGGCCTGACAGACCTTGAGGAATTAACCTTACCCTGGAAAAATTTTGACAGACAGGCATCACAGAAAACCATTTTCCCCTTGGGATGAGATAAAAGTGAATAAGTAGTAGTAGGCATGATCTAATCATGGAGAGCACATTAACATAATTGGAAAAAAAGAAATGACACCAAGAAAAAGTAAAACTAAAGTGTGATTCATCCTAACCGCTAAAAGAAAATAAAAAAATTGCTACTAACATTCATAGAGGTACATGTGTTGTGCTGGTGAAGTGAAACCCTAAATTTGAAGTGATACAGTGCTTAAAACCCTAAATTTGAAACAAGATACCACAAATGAATAGTGAAATAAAAGAAAAAGAAAATTAATGGCAGTGGAGTGTACAAGTGCAGAGAAGGTCGAGTATGTTTGAAGAAAACACAAAGGAGTCAAGTCATAAAGAAGAAAATGAGAATGAACTGTGCAGGAAATAAGGAAGAGAGGGTGAGGTTTTATTTCTTAGGCAAAGGGAAACGATGGGTCATTATCGTCATGAGAGTCAGAGACAGGAAAGCGACTCTAGATCTTAACATATCTAACGAGGGGGGCTAGAGGGGGAGCTTTTCTTTTCTTTTTCTTTCTTTTTCTGTTTAGATGCTCATATAAACCTATTACTACACCTTGTAAATAATTGTACAAGTCCTGTGGTTTTTTTTTAATATGTTTCAGGGGTTTTTTTGCAGCAGATGATGTGAAAAAGAAACGAAATCAAAGGATGGAAATGCAAAGCACACAGTAGACTCTCTCTCTCCCTCTCCCTCCCCCTCTCCCCGTCTGCCTCTCTTTCATCATCCATACATTTTACTTATTCTTTCACTTTCACTTGGTGAATGGATGAATACGTCAGGGAGTGATGGGGGCAGCAGACCTCAGTGCGAAAATATACCGGTGTCTTTGTTTGTTGGGTTAAACTTTGACTCTAGTTAATGCTTTTCCCTCAAACCCGACAATCCATCGTCCTCTCTCTCTCTCTGTTTCTTCATTCTTACTTATCACTTGCTTTCAACAGCTACCACACTGCTCCTCTTTTCCACCATCCATTCTCCTTTCTTACAATGCAACTGAGCTGACCATGATTGAACTGCATTTCATTCTCAGTTCAACGAAATCCCAAACATTTGATGCAACAAAGATGGCAGCTAACATGCACTGTTCCCTTCCTTTTGATGTTCAATATCGTTTCCCTTTATTAAAAAGAAAAGGAAAATCCCATGACAAAACGATTGAATTACATAACCTCTTCAGTCATTGTATAATCTAATCACTATAGACATGAAACAGCTTTTCATCCTTTTTACCATATACAGCCTACAGCAAAGTCTAAGAGCTATTTTTTAACAGGAAAGCTGTATTATTTTGATCCTTGTTTTCTTCCTCAATGAATAAACAAAATGTTGGAAATCAACCTTTTCCCATTACTTTTTGTGACAAAAGATAATAAAAATGAAAACCCCTTTTTACCCATTGCTTTAGTCAAAACTATATGGGCTTTTGATATCATTCAACTATTTATTATCACACTCTCAATGATTGCATAGTATTAATTATGTTGATATACACATGTGTAGCAATCCATTTCCCTAAATCAAACAAGACATGTAGATAAATACTTCAGGTAATTTCTGAGCCTGTTTATATGCCAAATTAAGCTTTGAAAAATGTAGTAAACAGGAGAGATACTAATATCAACCATGAGAAGAAAACTAGCTGAGTTTACAAAATTTATTTGCTTTAAAGGAAAAGAGAGAGAGAGAGAAGAAAAGAGTGTTAATTTGAAACGCAGGTACTTCCAGGCTCCTGTCCCATGGCTTGTGGAGGCAAAGATTTATACAGATAAATGGATGAATATATATATATATGTACGTATATTGTAGCTATAAAAGTATATATTGATGATAATTGAGATGAAATATAACGTGCTTGGGCTGAAGTAGGTGCAGAAGAGTCATAGCACATAGTATAGAGAAGTATATTGCTTTTAGACTGCAAATTGCACAATTTTTTCCTAAAGCTCTGAAAATTTCACAGAACTCCAAGTGCCAAAAGAAAGTCCCTTTTTTTTTCCTGTACCCTCCTCTGCATCAGAGAGCTAGTGCTTTGGTGGAGACCACTCCTAGCTAGCTGCATTTGCTAGTCTTATTTGCCATCATCATACCATTGATGCTAAAAGGAACTTTTCAAAGGCATCAACCCTGTGCAAAATCCTGCAATCTTGCTTCGGGTTGGGTCCTTCAAACGCAGCGATAAGGTGGAACACTCAGACTCATGACTATTTTGTTTGTTAATCAGCCCTAGCTCCTTAAGTAAGCATCCACGTTCCACTCCCACTGCCATAATTTCTGACAAATAGATGCAATCCATGAATTGAATCCTCATCCTGACTCCTCCAACCTTAGCCATTCATAGCTGGCCCCGCGGCCTAGTGTGGAATGGTAGGAGATGAGCGACGGTGGGAAGTGGGACATATGGACTGAATAAAGATCACTATCTACGTTAACAATAGAGTACCTTGCTTTTTCCCCCCCAATTGTGATAGATTTTTTATGAAAGGAGAGAAGGAAAAACCCACAAAAATGGAAAGAGTTTATGTAGTGATAGTGATTGTTTCAGCATCAAATCCCATATGCGGGATGCAATTAATGCTAGTGGAATGGAACAGATCAAAATGCTTTTTGGAGAAAGAGCTCATTCTTCAAGAAAAACAGAAGATAATGGTGCAATCTAGCAAGCAAGCAACACAAAAGTGTAAATCTCACTCTGGGTTTGGATTGTACATGTGAAAAAACATACATGAAGATAGCAGCAGATGAGGGTAACACGAATGCAAAACGTAATTGGTCAATGTTTCTGCAACTCAGGAAGGCAGTGTGCAGGCTCGAGAGTTGAAGAGTTGAGCAACCGGGTATGAATATGTCGCCCTGAGTGCCAGCATGCACTTGCAAGACTATGACCTTTTATTGTATGCCAGACCCATATGTCAAATGAAATATCACCAGTTGTGCAATTTATTCCAACAACTGGCAGCACTCCACTAGGGGGAACACTAGGAATTTTAAGGGACCACAAACCATTGATGCAAGACTATGATTTCCTCATAATAATTGATCTTCTTATACCTGCTGCTTTTCTCTATGCAAATATATATTGCACCAGATTAAAAAGCTGATGTTGATAATGGAAGAAACAAGAGAGTTAAATCACTTCAATGATAATTCAATAAAAAAATCATTAAGATGCATGCAACACATTAAGTCAGAGAGAAAGAGAGAGAGTTCAAAGAAGTTATACATTCATGATTGGAATATAACATTATCCTGATCAATGCGTTTACATTTTCAGGCAAGTATGACAAATTAAAGAAAATAATGTAACACAACATCAGAATCCTCCCTTCCATCTGAAAGCTCAGCTTCAATTAACCTCATTAACGGAACAAATGCCCATATTGCTAATCTCTTTCTACTATTTGGCTTATATTAAAACCATTATGGTCAACCTTGGATGAGAGAATTCACTATATACCAATCTAAGAGACAAGACCAAACCCATGAGAGAGCACAGCTCAAAAAAATAAGGCCGTGGCATGGAACTAAAATCTGGATTCTAAAACAACTGAAAAAACAAACTTGTAGACCCATCCCCAAAGGATCGTAGATCTGGAGCTTTAATTACAGCTCTGCACAGCGGGCAAGTCCTTTCTCTCTCAAACCTGAAAGGTTAGTAACCAGCTATGGTAAAGGGATGAAACTGAGGTACAAGTCAAGTGTGCTACCTAATTATAGCTGATTTAAAACTTCAATGCTTCTGTTTGAAAATTTAAAACATTTCGCAGTGGAATTTCATGATAAGCAATACTTTAGCCCATTAGGCAACTAGGCATACACTGTAGGCCTGCTGTGAGGGAAGTGCCATGTATAGTAGCAGACATAAATTTTCAGAATTTCAGTAAAAAGTAAAGTATTGATTCCTGTTTTCTAGGAAAAAGGGAGGCAGAATTTTTTTTATATCATATCCCCAACTTTATATCATATCCTTTATCTTACACTGAAATGGCACCATTCTCCTATGGTCCTACCATTCTTCAATTTCCATTTTGTTTTCCACCTAGTATCACAGTCCACCTCACAACATTCTATACCACAGTAACATATGTGTTCATTTTGTCATGAGTGAAGGTATGTACGCACTATGTCAAGGCATATGCAGATAGTGCGCCGCAGTTAACAAGTGGTTTTCACCCAACACAATCCCGCCTACTGAAGATGGAGCATCTAAAATTATCAATCTCTCAGTCACTTTACTAGGTGAAAGTTCTGACTGCTCCAAAAGGCACAGGTTTTTATGTTTTTTGTCCCCTCTTCTCCTCCCAAATCTTTACGCTAGTGAATCAAAGCAAAAGGCTACAGTTTCACACCTTTCTCAAATGTTAAATGCTTATCAATTATTGCTGCTAAAATTATAGATTGCAATAACAAATCAGAACTTTATACAGAAGTTAAAGTTTATATAGTGTTAGCCAAAGGAAATATATTAAATATTTATCTATGGCATATTTTCTCAATCTCCCATTAGCTTCACTGAGTGAAAGCTCTGACTACTGTGAAAGGCACAGATTAATAGATTTTTGTCCCCTCCTCTTACCAAATCTTTACAGTTTCACATCTCTTTCTCCAATGCAATTATGCCACAAATACTGGGCAACTTTTATCCAATTAAATTTGACAAACTAAACTTCCATTAGTTGCAACAATTATAGATATTCCAATAATAAATTTGGTCTTGATACAGGACAAAAATATTTATGTATTATTAACCAAAGGAAATATGTTAAACATTTATATATGGCTTATTAGCATATATCCCTTCTATCTTCACATCTATGTAGTCAAATTGAATAATTCTAAACCACAAATTCTTAGCTTGATGATAAGAGCCCTAGACTATCGAATCAATAATTGAGACTCATTATAGGAACAACACATTTCAAGTTAAAAAAATAAAATAAAATTTTCAAGATTCACAACATTTCCAACTTTCACTTCACAATATGCAATGGCAACAAACAGGAGGTATAAACTAACCATTCAGAGACGCAGTCCTCACAGAATATGTGTTTACAACGCAACAGGATTGGTATTTGCATCTTCTCCTGGCATATGGCACAAAGGTCTCCTGCTTCATTTACCTGTAACGTATGTAGGAATAAGGGAGAGATTCTAATGCGGGATGGAAACTGAATCATACATATATAGGCAGGAATAATGGCTAAAATATTTGTAATGTCAGTTAATTTGAGACAGACCTGCCCATATCAATCATTGGATTCAACAATGTATCCATAGTCGTCATAGAGTCAAATTTCAAGTCAATTTGATTTTTATATCATATCGATCAAGAATACTAATATTTAATGCTTGAAAATGTCACAATGTCACTATCAGTTGCACATTTTCAGTTTAATTGACATATAACATGTATGATCTACATGAACAGAGCATTAAATCTAATGGTTGAATTAACAGACTAAATTACAAGCAAAAGATGTAAATTACAGATGCCAACGAAAACTCTATCAAAAGGTAACATGCTTTTTTTTGGGCTTGATGATGAAAGATTAAGTAAAGTTCCGCAAACATGTGCAATAAGAAATTATTAGATACAGCAAAAGGTTAGAGCTATGGAACAGACAACAAGGCATCACATAAAACATTCTGGCATTTTGTTGTCCTAGCCAACTAGCCTTTCTTTAGGTCAGTGGGAGGAACCAAGTTTCAAATTGAGTTAAAATTTTCATTTCCCCCTTTCAGGTACCTGTTCCAATGTGGCATATGACCCATAGTGAACTTCCTTTTGTGACAATGCTTTCAGGGCGGCAAAGAGGGATTGAACCTAATAGCAATTACAAGTTGTTAATAATAAAGCAAAACATCAGGTCAAAAGATTCATGGTAAGACAGAGAAATTAAAAAAAAATCAGAAATTGCACATATGTACAAGTATTAGAGTATGGAAATTACACCTTTTCAATAACAGCTGTGAGCTTGAAAGTTAAATACAGCCCAGTAGTCAATGAAGAGAAAAGGCTTCCATAATCTTTGTTTAAGAAGAACCGGTACCAGACAGGTGTTGGTAACAATGCTCGGTATAATAGGAGTGTGTATTCGACCAGGGTTAGCACTTGACCCTTGAAAATAATACAACAGTTAGTTTCGTTTCATCCCTTTTGCTTCTTTACTTTATTTTTTTTCTTTTTGGAGTGACGAATGTTTGGGGTGTGCAGAGGGGAAAAGGGATATAGTTGCAGTTTTATATAAATAAGACAAAGTGATTTTGTAATGCATAACATCATAATACCTGTCGGCGGAAGTTGTGCCCTCTGCCATTCTTATAATAAATGAGCAGTACACACTTAAATGCCATCACTGCCTGCCGCACCATTGCATCTGAAAGTTAAATAGATCACTAAATTAATAAAAGTAAACTCTAAACTGTCTGGACATTACTGGCATTTGATTTTACAATATGAAGAACAATGCGTCTTGTAGATAACAATTAGGAAGTATTTTACATAGATGCCAAAAAAGTTTAACAAAAAGTAAAGCGGAATAAGGATTTAGTTACGCATATAAAATACTCAACAGAAATGTTATTCAGAACCATAAATTTTAAACTGCAGCATACAACAGCATATTAACTCTCTTTGGAAATTTCAGCAGCATCATATGAAAAGAGTCAGTCATAAGAAGGGAACACAAGATCAAGAATATCTGCCATACATTCTTTATCTTACCATTAGAATAATGTTAATAGAAATGAACCCAAGTATTACAATTCAAATTCATACCATTTACCAGAATGATGAATATTGCATGCCAGAAAGGTGGTATTGTCTTTGGAGGAAGCATGACCAGAGGATATAAAAGATCATTGTCCCGATACCACCAATAAACACCAATCACATGAAGCATAAAAAGTACTGAGTATGTGATTAGAACAGCATTCTTTCTCTCTCCCTGCAAAACCGGTGAATGTTAAGTTTCATGGTTTTGCCCCTTCATTGGGGCACCAAAGAACTTAGAAGGATAAAGTTCAAAGACACATTTAAGCACCTTCAGTGCTGTCTGCTTTTGGAGGATTACATTTGACTTGAACATGACAATTGTAACCCAAATCATGACAACAAAACCTGCAAGCCACCACAAACAAATAATAAGAAATAAAAGAGTTTAGGCTATAGACAGTAAATTACAAACAACTTGAGATAGAACTATTTCCTCATGCAGGCCTGAGATACTACTTAAACTGTACCAGGTTCTGACGGTAAGAACCAAGGCACAACTAGAGTAAGTCTGATGTTTGACTCTTCATTTTCTCTCCCTCCTTCTGCAACGTACCCCCCAACCACTGTCTCTCTATCTCTCTCTCTCTTTTTCCTCCTCTTTTTTCTTCTTGATGATAGATAGATATTTAGCAAAAGGAAGACTAGAAAGGACCAATCAAGAATAGTACATCCGTTACAAAGACACACTAGGACAAAATCGAAAAAAAACAAATGTAATGCAAGAGAAAAACAGTACCCTGGCTCTTAGCAAAACTTCCAATTTTTAGCCAACAATCCAAACTCAACAGATAAGGAATACAAGAAAGGTAACTCGCTAATCCCTAATGTCTATGAAGTTCTTGATTTCCCTCATACGACAAGAAACCTCAACACCTCATATAGAACACCAAAAGTTTGTTCTCCACAATTTTTCTCTTGCTAACCATCTAGAGTGCCCTCACAGATCGCCAATCTTTCAACCACGTTGATGACAGTCCAAAAAGGGATAAAGAACACATGTAAAGTTCATCCAAATTCAACTTAATTCCCATCCTTACTAAAGAATATGCAACCTTTGTTCAAAACAGATGACTGTTTATGAAGCAAAATCAAAGAGAAAAAACATGGGAATTCCCTAACATAGGACAGCCAACAATGAGATACCAAATAGGAATAACAGAATGCTAAGAATCACATCCATGTCCATTGCCTCAATGACATCAAATTCTTTAGATTGTATTAATCAAATGAGCAGACTATGAAGCACCTTCAAAACAGCACAACATTATAGTAGTAACATTTTTGTTGATGTCTAAAATGACCAAATGAATGACACCCGAGTCCAGTTAGCAATGAAAAAATGCAAGAGAGCGAGGTAAATGAAGAAGAAGAAGAAGAGGAGGAGGAGGAGGAGGAGTACCTTGTAAATGCTGACGAATGAAGACAAGCAGCAATAGCAATGAAAAGGGAAGAATATGCTCAAACCACCTGGCAATGCGCTGTACATCATAACTCTGCATCTGGTAAGACGAATTGGAACTCCTTTCCTCGTTACTGGTGCTGCTGCTGGTAAGAGGATCGTCCTCCTCAACTCCATCGTGATCCAGGGGGGTTTGGGCATTGTCTTCTTCAGCTCTTGCAGGCCCAATGATTTGAATAGAAACCTCCCCAGCCCCAGAAGCAGCATTAGGAGGAGGTTGCAAATCAGTGTTGACTAAAACCCCACGAGGTTGATTAAGGGTGGGATTGGAAAAAATGCCAGAGTATTCCAGTAGGAGGGACAAGGGTGATCGGAACAAGTTTAGAGCTGGAACTTGAATGGCAAAGCTTCTTGAAGAATCACTGGTATCACCACCACTAGTGCTAGTAACAGAAGAAGAAGAAGTTGGTGATGGTGAGGGAGGACCAGAGATGGGAGTGGATGTTTCCATTATAACAAGATCCTACACTCCAAAATCATAAACAAGCCCCTTGTTTTATTTACAACTCTGTGAAAATCCCAGTATGATCTTCCATTCACATTTCACAGACCAACAGCAAAATAAAATAAAAGAAAAAAAGAAACAAGATGACTTTTTTTCTGAAACGAATGAAAGAGAGAAGAATGTGGGAATGAAAAGGGAGAGCTTTGATTACAAATTCAATACAAAACGCTGCAGACAAGAGGCTGAAGAGTCAAACTGACAGAAGGAGACAGCGGAAACAGAGTTCTTGGAGACCAAAACAAAAATGGTTTCAAGCGGTGTAGGCTGAGATTGAGGAGACCATATTTTTTAAGAAGAAGTAAAATGGGGTATTGGATTTGAAAGAGATGAAGCTAAATATTATAATTAGATCATTCATTCATTCCCCTTTGTTTATATATGGTACAATCAAGTTGCCATACCTTGCTTCACTCTGCAAATGCCACTGCCCCGTGGCCCCTGGGAGACAAAAAAGGACAAAAGAGAAATCCCAAAAACGCGTTCGCCTCTTCTCTTTACGCCAGTAGGAAAGAAGTCTTGCCGGGCTTCTCGCTTTATTAACGTTTCCGTTTCAATTAAGTATTTGATAGTGATAACTATCTTTCCTGTTTGGGTTTATATTCCATATACCATTATTACATAGTACATATATATAGATATTATTCCATCTAAGTATTGTATTTGCCAAAACGTTCGAGTATAAGTGATTGAGAAGCAAAAGAAAGGTTCCCTCTCTCTCTGTAAAGTGATTTTAATGCTTAGCAGTTATCTCTGTTAATCCTACACCATTGAACAAATGTTTGCATTGAAAATATTGAAACCACTCCCACTTGCTGAGTTTAAACAACATTAACAATGCTTTGTTATGTGGAACAAACTGCTAGTGTTAGGTGAACTACCACCATTTAAATAACACTTTGCAATTTTTGTGGAGTGACATGCTTTGGGTCTTCTACCCTGTTTCCCCTTTCTGAATACAAGTTTCTCTTCGGATCAAATGGAAAACAATTTGTTAAACAAAGTCTACCCTGCGGACTACAGGCACTCCGCATGTAAACAGTAGCATTACATTACAGAGTACTGGAAAAGAAAAATGAAAACAATCAAACGGGGAAAATATTATAATACATGCACAAGTTCATGCCACGAACTAACATTGGTCCCTGGTTGACCTGATTATGCCAGTTTCACATGTTCAATGGCAACATAATTATAACTGCCAACCCACTTCCAACACCATGCAAACAAGTTTTATTCTTACAGGAAAAAAGAAAAGGAGGTAGATGGAGAGTCCCTTTTTTATTCTTCCTTCATAGTTTTTTTTTTCTTTTTTTAGAAAAGCTTCTTCCTTTGTAGTTAATACGCATCTCAGACAACTCTTACATTTAGCCTCGCCAATTGTCCTTCATCCGCCTAATCTCCCGAAGTGCTTCAACAGGAGACTGGCAACCAATGCTCCCCTGAAATCAGATAAAATTTCCACATAAGAAAGCCCGTAAAATACAGAGACATAAAACAACAGCCCAGTGCAAGAAGAACTACAAGATGGTTAGAAACCAAATGAAGAAGGGGAAACATTAACATCCTAAGACTAGTTCAAGCTTGACATGCAATCTGAAATAGTATCTCATGACAATCAACTCGAGATTTGTCACATTGGGGATGAATTTTATGGTAAAGAGAAAACCTGAAGTTCAGGTAGATCAACTCGCATAAATGGATTAGTCTCCAATTCTTCCTCAATGGTTGAGGGGATAGTGGGTAGACCTGCTTGTCGCTGACTAGTAGCCCATGCTAACTTTTGCTGTATCCTTGCATTTTTTGGCTCAACTGTCAATGCGAATTGCAGGTTCTTCACTGTGTACTAGAGAAACATAGGTCCAAACGTTTCATCAGTCTTCAGAAACAAGAAGCAGTGCAACAAAAGCAAATTAGTTTGCAACCAATTACTGAAATCAACTAAGACATAACAGACTTAAAAAGAAATATGGAAAATCCCTCTCACTTCAAGGTTTCCATTTCACGGGCTGGACATCTTCAACAAAGCAAGATAATTTTGTACACAACAGACACTCCACAAACAGCAAACATACTGCAGCTTTCACAAAATAGTCACTGCTAGTTTACTAGCTCAAGATGACTAATTACCTTGTATGCTAAATTAACCCAAATTGCTGCTAAGTTTAGCACTATATGCCAGCTTTCAGTCCTAACCAAAATGTTGGAACTTAGATATATAGGCAGATACCAGTACTAACAAAAATGTTATTTTGATGATGATATGAGTAAAATCTGTGATCCTTCAATTGCACAATCAAAGTTGAAATATACTTTCAGCTTGCAACCAGCCTATGTCTACATTAGACATGGGAAAATTAGCTGCTTTGGTGAGTATCAATCAATTGGGCCCAGTGACAGATAAGAAAAGGAAATGGGTAAATCTCTGTACCTCATGTCCACAGAAAACACGAGTTGGCTTTGGCAGTGAACCCAAGGTTACACAGAGTGATTGATACATCTGTTCTGCTGTGCCTTCAAAAAATTTCCCGCAACCAGCAATGAACTATAAAATGAGAAAAAAGGAAAATGACAACAATTATTTCCAGACCAGTAAACAAGAGAAAGACAAATGATCCACCTCCTAACCGTCCAAAAGCTTTCTGATTAGGAGATAGAGCTTCATACCTAAAAGTTTAAGCTAACAGGTGAAATCCCAAGGATTGGGTTTAAGCTTAAATGATCCATGCAAGTAAATCTTACACACAACCAAGAAAAGCAGGCCAGAATTATATCCAACGCAAACTGGAATGATTACATTAAATGGGCCACTAAGAATTTATCAATCTGAATACAGGACCGAATAGATCATGATACCATAGCAATTAACTAGTTTTAGACTAGAATGAGCTTCATCAAAAGACCAAAAAGAAAGTAACAATGGCTCCTCTTTTAATAACAAGTAACTGCAAATACACACACGCACACACACACACAGAAGTAAGATCCAGGTTTGAACTTACGAGTGTATCTCCAGTAAAAACAGCAGGGTCCTCTCCCTCTTTGCCAGTGACGTAGTAACTTATGTGACCCTTGGTGTGGCTGATGAAAGGAAGTCGGGGAAAAGAGAGGGTTTCAAAAAATTGAGACACAGAAAGAGAACCAAGTGTGGCAGGCAGAAATAAGCAAACAAGTAAACAGAAGAGAAGGGGCATATACCAAGGGGTGTGAAGAGACAGTATGTTGATATGAGGGCTAAGTTGTAAGTTATCACCATTTTGGAGCTGATCAGTGCAGCCTTTGACATTATCAAGGGAACCCCCGTAAACCTTAATCCCGGGGACCAGCTTCTTTATCTTATCATTCCCACCAGCGTGATCCCTGCAAAGAAATGAAATTGGAACAATGAATGGTCCTAAGCTTAAATTCTAGATATTCGAATTCCCAGTGCAAGTACCAAAGGAGCTAGTCCCAGCTAATGGGCTTACCAGTGGTGATGAGTGGTGAGAACCAACTTGAGAACAACTCCCTGCTGATTGGCGGCTTCAACCACCTTCTGTGGCTCCGCCGGATCCACCGCCGCCGCCTCTTTTGTGCTTTCATCTATGACCCTATTTCATTTATTAATTAATTAAAAAGTTTAAAAATTTCGAATTAAAGATTGAAAACAAATCATCAAAGCAGAAAAATACTCACAGATAGGAGTAGTTGTCTTCTAAGCATGGAACCTCTAAGATTTTCATTTTCACGGCTCTTTCCTCTCTTCAAAATCCAAATACAATTTCGGGTTGGAAGGAAACTGTGGAAAGTAGAGAGCTTTGGGGATGCAGACAGCCAATTTTATGCTAAGTGACAAGAAGCGTTGATGATGAACAAAGTCCAGTTTTTGTGTTTTTTTTTTTTTTTTTGGTATTCTGATAATAACGGAATCATCAATTGATAGGACTATGAAAATAATCAAAGAACCCAGCAAAATATATGTCGGATATCGCCTGATTGAAATGCAGCGGTAGGAATTTGTCCGTCACTTACGGGAATGACAGACAGTCACCTCAGCAATTTCCGACATTGATTCGAGACACACTTCAATAAGTAGGTAGCTCTCTGTTAAGAGGTAGTCAGCATCTTCTACCTCATTCCATATTAGGTAATCATGTATATATAAGAGATTTTTAATGATTTAAGAAAAAATTTTAATTAATAATATCATAATATATATCTTTATTATATCATATTCTCAATATTTTAAAATAACATTTTTAGACACTTAATATTCTTATTTTTATATTATAATTTTATTTTTTAAAATTAAAAAATATTAAACAGCTATATTATTTCAAAAATTCAAATTTTAATATGTAAATTTTTATTACAAAAGGCATACCTCTTATAATTATTGCACTATAATTAATAAATCATAATCACAAATTATGTAAAATCGATAAAAATATTATATGAAATTCACTTTTATAACTGATGAACTCATACATAGTGGTTTTTTTTTTTCTATAGAATCGAATAATTACATGCCAAATGCTCCCTTTGATTATAAGGTCAAGGTGTCATGTCATCAATTTAGTAACCGTGACAAGACTAATGAGGTTCGAAGCATGTATAGATAAGATAAATTTATATATGATTCATTATCGTGATACGAAATTAAATCAGTTTAAAATTTGTATAATCATGCTTATATCGTAATTATGTTAACTAGTTTATAACATAAAAAATATTCCTCTTTTATAGGGATTGACGTACCTAACTTGTATATGACACATTTATTGATCGTATTAACAACTTAACTCATATTATTCAACCTCTATAATATTTTCAGTAGAAATATCTAATATTTTAGTAAGTTAGATTATTGAATTCGCATTTTACATTACATGAAAAATATTTAAAATTATAAAGAAGTTTATAAATATAACTTATTTAATAGGTTAATCACTTGGGCTAAACTCAAGAACACTAAAACCACTTGGGCTAAACCCAAGAACACTAAAACCACTTGGGCTAAATCCAAGGGCTTTTGTCTGGTTAATAAAGCGCACGCACTCACGCCTCCCTCTCCCCTGCTTTGTTGAGAATAGAGATAGTAAGTCAATCGTTCATCGGAAAAGCGTGGAAAGTGAGAACAGAAGCGAAATGGGGAAGCAGCCGGTGAAGATGAGGGTGGTGGTCTACGCTTTGTCTCCGTTCCAGCAGAAGATTATGAGTGGCCTATGGAAGGATCTGCCTTCCAAGCTCACCCACAAGGTCACGGAGAATTGGATCAGCGCCACTCTCCTCCTCGGCCCTCTCGTCGGAACCTATGCGTACGTCTCTTTCTTTTTCATTTATTATTATTATTATTGCTGTTCCTATCGATTCATATAATATTTTCCCCCAATTTTCCATCTCTGATTTCTCTTAATTTGACCTAGGGTTTGCATCGCATCACTGTTTCTGGTTTTTCGTTTTCTCATCGTATCTCAGATCTATCTAATCTCCATGTAATAGCTGCCTCTGTTTCTTTTATGGATTTGATTTCAGTTTCATGCTTTCTTATGTTCGGAATCCAATGAAGGCCCTCGCTTTTAATCTTAGAAAGTAAAAATTACCTTTTTTATACATGTGTATGAATATCGCTATCAAATTAATTCTTCCACAATTTCATTTGTTTCAATCTCTAGCTAGTTTAAGTTAAATAGATACAGGTAATTGAGCTGATAGGGTTGGTTGCTGCTTCTCATTCATTTCTTAAATAAACATAAAATTAATGTCTGTTCTAGCTCCAATAGTATGCTAAATCAGTACAATGTTAAATAGTAAATAAAGACCTCAATTCCAACGTCATGGGTCCTCTTCAACTTCAAAAACTTATGATTCAGGGCTTTCTTGGATGGAGAAAATAGTTAGACTTTGATGCTTAATTTCGTTCAGTTCAAGACAGGAAAAGAGTGACTTTTTCTAGTGCTGTCAGCTGCAAACTGTATTCATGAACAATTAATTTAAGTAAGGTCGAGGCTTGGAGCTCGCTTTGGTGTGGGCTTTATTAGAGTTTGATAATGGCTATTCTAGGGCTTCAAGGGAATTGGTTTAGGCTGCTTGTCGGCTTAAAGAAGAAGGACATAAAGACAAAGGCTTCACAAGTAAGGCCTTAAAAGGCTTTACACCTAGTGTTAGATATTGCTTCACACTACGCGAAAGAGAGAATAATAGCAGCAAAATTCTCATAAAATTGTTCTCCATTAATTAAGATAACTTGCATGCTTGCATGTTGTAGATTTCTAGTAATATACAAGGACTAGAAATCCAAATGGGAAACAACCAATTGATTCAAACAGCTCCTAAACCCTAAAAGCAAACATAATAACTAGTCTAAAATAACCATGAGGCTTTCTTTGTTAACTAGCAGCTTTACATATTAAACTCAATTTCACAATGCCTTTTTGGAGGTGTGTTGAGTTTCCTTGGCCTAAGCAGATGAAACTGCACAAAACTTAGGAACATGCCTTCTGTATACAACTTAGGCTGCATTTGTTGATGATATAATTGCAATCTTATGATGTTAAGTACTTTTATGTTCTGTAGCTGTAGGTCTTCTCTATGAAGGAACTACACTGTGGTTGTGCTTACATGTATCTTAGTTTATTATTTGACATGCTCTATGCAACTGGTTGCAGGTATGTCCAAAACTACCAGGAAAAGGAGAAGCTGGCACACAGGTATTGAAATCAGTGGGAAGCTGCCAATTTATGAGAATGCAGAGTTTTCAAAATTTAGATGCAGCTCTAGTGAGGTTGCTTGCAATGATGAGTCTTGAGTTGGATTTTTGTTATATATCTGGAATAATGAATTTGGAACACTTTCTCCATTTTAGTTAAAATAAATTTGTGGATTGGCTCTTCAAGATTGTGCATGCTAATAATTCGAGTGATGCGTATGGTGACGAGTGCAGCCAGACTATCTAATGCACACAAGGATATACATGTTTGTGAAAATTGCAGGGTTTTGTGATTCTTATCTAAAAGGGGAGCAAAGTCTTTTTGTGGCAGGACCTTAATGAATATAAGACTATTTGCTGACAATGAATGTTTTATAAATCTGATTAAATTATTGTTACTCTTTTCTTTTCTGTTTGCTAATTTGGCTTGCAGAGGAGAATAAACTATAGGCAAAAAGCTGATGGAAGCATACTGTCTTTCCCTACACTTACCCAACCTTATACAATCTAAAGAATCATTACCAAGTTGAAATGAAATGGATTTGTTGGTTTTTGTGAGCAAGACGTGAGGCATGGATTCCTGTAACTCCAAAGTTTTCGATTCCCCATTGCAATTTTCCATCTCTATTCTCAAAATTGTTCTCCATAGCTGTGTAGTGGAAAAGATTTTAGTTGTTAGAAATTGGAAAACAAGTGTAATCATTTTTGTACTTTTATATTTAAGAAAAAAAAATTCGAATTGTACTCGTTTTAATGTCGAAGTGTAGTCATTCTTGTAAGATCTATTATTACTTTCTCATCAATATGCTCCCATGTCTATGTAGGATTTTTCTGATCTAATTTTGGATTCTAACAATTTGATTTAATAAATTAAATTGATGTAGTCTTACCGTGTTAATCATAATCTAAACCCCCGTAATAATTAATTAATTAATTAATTAAAAATTATCATGTATGAATTATTTTGATAATTAACTTTTAAATGATTTCATGCGTATTATATTTATATTTTGAGTTGTCAAATTTATAATTAATTTAATAATATTTCCCACTTGACAACTGCCACGTGAAAAGAATTTGGTCATGTGGAAGCTGAGGTGTCATTTGTTTATTTTTTTTTCCCTTTCTTTTTCTGTGTCTTGCCCAACGGCGCCTTGCTAGTAGTGTAGCATTCCTCGCTCTCTCTGTCTGTCTCACCCTTTCCCTCCCCGCAGCGCCGTTACTCTATCTCTACCAATCCAAGTAGTTCTCTGCCGTGATCCTTTTTCTGTGTCTTCCTTCCCTTTCGCTCTTTCGTGGAGGAATTGTTCTCTCAATTTTGTTCACTTGTAGGCTCTTAAATACGATTTCCAACGCAAATAACAACTCAAATTCTTTATCCTATTCATTTTTTCGGTTCAAAAAAGCCTGTCAAATTCATCCAAGTCGCTTGTGTCCACTAAATTTCCATCTTTGGCAATCAGGAGCTAGATACCCTTTTGCTTTTCATCTCCAAGGTTTAGCAACTGCATCAATGTCTAAAACCCTTTGTGTCAGAAGCTTCAAGCTTCACCATCTCACATTTGGCATTTGAAAGTATCATACTTTCCTGGTTATGTTGCTGGAAAATCCCATAACTCTCTCTCCTGTTTTTTTTTGACCTTTTAATTTTATTACGAGTCACCCACTTCAGCACTTTTACCTATCCTTTTGCACGCTTATAAATATGCTATGGAGATACAACAGGGGCTTCCTGCAGTCAAAACCAAGAACCCGGATCCTCAAAGCATTGCCTTTCGTGTTAGTTCACCATTTCTCGTCACCAGAGGTAAGCTCAACTGAGAAAAGTCAAAGTTTTTCTTGGGAAAAAAGGAGACTTACTATCAATCCTCAGATTGTTCACTCTACTTTAGTGAACTGCCCTTCTAATTTGATTGCTTTGGGCTTTTTCTTATGGTGTGCTAAGCAACCCAATTATTTTCATGATGCTCAAGCATTTGATTGTATGGTTAATGTTCTCACTCAGTTAACCAAAAAGTATGTAACTGTGAGAAGCATTGTTGGGGAATTGGAAACTGTTGGCTGTGTGATAAAGCCACAAACTTTCTTGCTTTTATTGAGGATTTATTGGCGTGGTGGATTATATGGAATGGTTTTTGAGACTTTTGAGGAAATGGCTACTTTTGGTTTTACTCCTAATACATTTGCACGTAATGTCATTATGGATGTTTTGTTTAAAATCGGGCATGTTGATGTAGCTATCAAGGTTTTGAAAGAAACCGGATTCCCAAATTTCTTGACTTTTAATACTGCTTTATGTAATTTGTGCAAGTTGAGAGATTTGTCTAATATGAAGTATGTTATCAGAAGAATGTTCCGGGAGGGGCATTATCCTAATGTTAGGACATTGGAGATGATTTTGAATTGTTTCTGTAAAATGGGTAGGCTAGCAGAGGCATATCAAGTGTTGAGTTTGATGCTTATTTTGGGAGTCTCTGTATCGGTAAATGCTTGGAATATATTGATAGATGGGTTTTGTCGATTGCGTCAGCCTGATATGGCTAATGATTTGTTTATAAAGATGCTTGGAACTGGTTGCTCTCCTAATGTTGTGATTTACACCACTTTGATTAAGGGATTCCTGGATTCCCAAATGGTTAGTACTGCTTTTAGCATTCTAAATAGAATGGAATCTGATGGATATGTTCCTGACTTGATTCTCTGTAATGTGTTAATAGATTGTTTATCTAAGATTGGCAGGTATGATGATGCATTTGATGTGTTTGTAAGTTTGCCAGAAAGAAAATTGTTACCTGATTCTTATACATTTTGCTCTTTGTTATCCAACATATGTTTGTCTAGGAGGTTTTCTCTTTTACCTAAGATAGCAAGTGGACTTGCAATAGAAGGGGACCTAGTAGTTTGTAACTCATTATTGAACTACTTTTGCAAGGCTGGCTATCCATTGCATGCTGTGGAGTTATATGATTACATGCTTGATAGAGGTTTTACACCTGATAAGTATAGTTTTGTTGGATTGCTTAGCGGACTGTGTGGAGCAAGAAGAATTGATGAAGCGGTTAATGTGTATCAAAGCATAATAATGTATTGCCCTGGTCTTGATGCTCATGTCCATACTATTATCATAGATAGGCTCATAAAAGTTGGTAAATATCACAGAGCCATTAAATTGTTTAGGAGGACACTTGTAGAGAAATACCCTCTAGATGTTGTATCATACAATGTTGCCATCTTTGGACTTCTCAAGAGTGGAAGGGTAGGAGAAGCTTGTACTTTGTACAGCGAGATGAAGGAACTTGGTGTTCTGCCAAATGCACACACATATAATTTGGTTATCTCTGGTTTCTGCAAGGAGAGAGATCTCAGAATGGTCAAACAGTTGTTGCAAGAAATCAGTGAGGCAGAGGTTGAGCTGGACCGTAATACAGTGAACAGTGTAACTAAATTGCTGTTCAGATCATATCCATATCCTTCAGCCCTCAATCAATTAATTGAAATGTGGAACTCAGGTTTGATTCCTGATGAGGCAATGTATGCTCAATTCTCCAAGGGGCCTGCGTATGGTGTAAACGTAGGTGATGCTCATCACTCGTTCTTGAAAACTTATTTGAGGGATAAACTATTGGTGGACTCATCTGGCTCTGATGACATTCCTGATGTGGCTGCTTCTGTGGGCTGAGCTATTTTTGATGAATAAGTTTTTTCATAGCTCAGTGGGCAATGCTGCTTCCATTTTTTTGAGCTCTTCATACCATCAGATATTTAGTCCTTAAAGGTACAAGTTATAGCTCTTTCTGTAGAATGAAATATTCATCCTGACTTATTGGTTCATTAAATCAATGTCTCACTAGCTTGATCAAGAAAACATTAAGAACCCTTAGTAAGTTTGATTTTTCATTTTGCTATTAGGTTAAACAAATAACTCTTTTTACATTTTTACTTATCAAGAGTGGATTCTAGAATTCAAATATAGTCAATTCCATTTTAACAAGGTTGATAATTGATTAGAAGCATCCTTGACATCCCAGGCCCATTGAATTGTGGGCCAAGAATGTCTCAGAATCCTTCTTCAATAAAAAAAATGCCTCATCAGCCTCAAGAAATATAAATAAGACTGTAACTGCTGCAGGAAAGACAGCAGAGGGATAGATGACTGTGTAATAAATCAAGGACTAATTACTCATGTTGATATATAGGGGATGATGGTTGATCACGTCCTGCATATGGCAACTAGAATCACATTTTTGGAACCTTTTAGTGCAAAATTGGGATGGCTTTGGAATTTGTCGCTACAGTTTCCTCGCTTGCCAATCAATAGTTTTCACGTTACTTGTATCTCTGAGATTAATTTATGCTTTTTGGTCCGTTCTTTCAACTCCTTTTTTAGATATTCAGAGATAGAGTGTCTTCAAGAAACAGTTCATTTATTCGTGGTGTTAGTGATAGAATATTATCTGCTTAGATGCTAATCTCTGATTGTCAATACATGCAATTATTAGTTGATTTCTTCAAGATATTGCCTAACTTGTTAAGCTGTTACCCCTGTACGCAAATTTTCAGAGGTGAAGTAGGGGATTTAATGAAGATTTTCTTCAAGGGAAGTGCACAATGAAATTCCAATAATTCCACAGGTATGGAGCTTATATTCCAATTTTATGTATTTCTCTCATTAATTGCAATTACGTGGTGCATAAAAACTCTACCAAATCAAATTATAAATTTTTGCTTCCTGCTATGTTTGTTGTTTCTGTTGAAGTGCATAAAGTTGGCTTGTCATTCTAGAATCTTCCAAGGAAAACATCAAATTCCAAGTTGGTGTCTCATTTATTCCTCATATCTTTGATTTGTCATGTATTTCCAGCCTAAGATCTGAGCCGTGACTTGAGAGTCTCTCCTCGCAACCACGTACACTGAGATTCATGTGATTCCAAAGTTTCGTAGGTCTTCCTTCTCGATCTATTTAATCTGGAGTCCTTTATTTGACTTTTGGCCTATATATCTCTTTCTCCTTTTTCCGGTTGGATTCCTCTAACATGGCAAGCAACATGGTTTTAGAAGTTACAAGCAGCAGCTGTTTGCGCGGGCTTACATCCATTGAAAGATGAAGATTGTATCGTGGTGTTTCATAGCATCATTGATGAAGAAAGAAAACAGCAAGATACAAAAATCTCTGTAAGTGGTGAGTGAGCAAAAGACACATCAAATAGTTTTAAACTTTTACATTTATTATTCTCTGAATTGACCTTTTTTGTTTCATTTCTATTTCAGATACCCATAAAAGGCTAGAGTAGTGGCAACCACTTGGCAGGAACAATTGTTCTTTTCTAACCAAGGATCTCATTTTCCAGCATGACCAAGATGGAAGAATGTACAATAAGAGAGGGATATCTAGAAAGATCAAAAAATGGAAAGGGGCTCTTAAAATTCTGTTAGAAGAGTTGCCACCTTTCCCCTGTTTTGTCTGCTTCAAGTGTTTCTCATTCTCGTAATTATGATAGTAGTTTGTGTTGTTGGTGTGGACTTTATGCTAGTAGCCTGTGCCTCAATTTTCTCAGGTGATAACCCTTGCAGCTTACACCATGGCTACTTTTGCAGTTTCTTCATTCATAATGAACTAAAAACGATAATGTAGAAGTGGTATCCATATCTCTGTTATGTTGACAAGATCAATCCTAGTTGGCTCTTTGTTCTTCTGTGCTTGTTGGGAATTTGATTGTTGGTTGTTTTGCAATAAAAGATTACTGCTTCCAACCAATTGTGTATGTACTCATAGGCAAGTGAATAAGATTGAAGCATGGTGGTTTCATATATAGGATTGCAAACATGAAAACACAGCCGTTTTGATGTACAAAAAACATATCAAAGCTTAGCTCAACGACAAATGCCATTTGATCTTCGAATTCTCTCAAAGCCAGACGTTCGGTACATTACAATGCAATGTGATTAAGGTAATGTGATTGCAAGCAATGTGATTACAGGAGAAAATAAAATTACAGTGTTTGTATGTAAGTAATAATGAATTAAAATGTAGGGAAGATAACATTGCAGTGTTTGGTTTACAAGTACTTTAGTGGGAATGTAATGTTAATTGTCAAAATTACCCCTAATTATTAAAATATAAGTTTAATATATTATATTTTTTTATTATTAATTTTATATAATATATTATTTTTAAATATATTTTAATATCATATATTTTTTTTTTATTATTATTATATTTTATATTTTTTTTTTAATATATTTATATTTATTATTAATTTTTATATAATATCATATTTTAAATATATTTTTTAATGTCATATATTTTATTTTTTATTATTATAATTTATATATTTTTATTTTCATTTCTTTAATATATTTTTTATATTATATATTTTATTTTTAATTTGTTTTACCTATATTATATAAATTAATTTTTTATATTTATTTATTTTTAATTTTAATTTTTATATTATATATTTTTTTAATATTTTTATTTTAATTATAATATTATAAAATATTTTTAATAAAGTATTAAAATTGAAGGGTAAAATTGTCTTTAAGAACATTACAGAGTGCAATGTAATGTGATTGTATTGATTTTGGACTGCAATCACATTATATCCATTGGCTGTAATGTGATTGCATTGTAATCTTACATTACAGTGATCTGTTATAAAATAAACACTGTAATATAATTTAATAAATCACATTACAAGTAATGTGCTTTACAGATACCAAACGGACCCTAAAATCAAACGAAACAATATCAGCGCACACAAAAGAAGTTTGGGCTCCTTGACTTGAGTGAATGGGCTGAAGCTGTCTTTAGCCCATGGGTCATGGCATGAGTAGTTAAATAAAAGAGTGGTGGGATTCGCCTAGGGTTTTCGTCGCTCTCCCATTCTCAATTCTCGCCTGGACGACATGGGGAGGAGTGAGTTCCTTCTTTCCTTCCTTGCTTGCAACTATAATTCTTCTTTGAAATCTTTACTGCTATTATCATTCTTACGTTGCTTGTGTTTTAGTGGTGTATTATCATTCTCGAATTTTGTTGAATGCTGTTTTAGTTTTTCTTTCCTTTGTATGGTTTATCCAATTTTTCCCCTTTATTTTCAAGGATGAATATTTACATTTGCTTTTCGACGCTGTAAATGTATTAATGGGTTTTCTCAGGTAAAAAATGGGGCTTGGGGAATTTGGAAATGTTTTACCCATTAAATCTACCCAATTTGCGCTTCAAAATTCAATTTTCATCCTTATCTTTTTTGGGTTTTATTCACATGCTGTCACCACAACCAGCACCATGTCCATCTCTGGCTTGCCATGATAAAATTGTTCCATGATGACGAATATTTGATCATGAATGGTAACTTAGAGGCTGAGCTGTGAATTAGAAATTGAGTCCAATTTAGCATACTATGATTTTCAGTTATTTGAGTTTGTTACACCAAGAAAGAACCTGTGTATATAGTTTTGGTCTTTGTAATTTTATAGTGGTCATTTCTATCATAGGGTGCTGTTTTCCATGTTGGACTCCGTTATGCTTGCAAATACCGCCCAAAAATCATTGGGAATGTGTGCTATGGATCAACTTCCATGGCCTTCTGTTTTGCTGAATTTGTGGAATCTATAAAGCATTATGGATTTGTTTGCAGGGGCTGGTTAAACTAATTGACATACAACATATTTAAAATTTTATTTATATATTCTCTTCTGGGGTGGGCTTATGTTAATGTTTCTAGAAACATCTCTTTTAAACAGCTTCTTAACATTCATGGTTCTAACATGCATTCCTTAAGAAGCTATTTTTTGTATTATGTTGACTTTGAGTGTCATGCTGGTGCTGGTTTCCTAATATTCTTCTTGTAGGACCTGCAAGATGTTATCGCCAAATCAAGAACAAGCCATACCCAAAATCTCGATACTGCCGTGGTGTCCCAGATTCTAAGATCAGAATTTATGATGTTGGGATGAAGAAAAAAGGGGTCGATGAGTTTCCTTTCTGTGTCCATCTTGTCAGTTGGGAGAAAGAGAATGTCTCAAGTGAGGCATTGGAAGCTGCTCGAATTGCTTGCAACAAGTACATGGCCAAATTTGCTGGGAAGGATGCTTTCCATTTGAGAGTGAGGGTTCATCCCTTCCATGTTCTGCGGATCAACAAGATGCTTTCATGTGCTGGTGCTGATAGGCTTCAGACTGGTATGAGGGGTGCTTTTGGGAAACCTCAAGGAACATGTGCAAGAGTCAACATTGGTCAGGTCCTGCTTTCTGTGCGTTGTAAGGACAGCAACAGCCATCATGCACAGGAGGCCCTCCGTCG